TTCCGTCAAGTTCTTTCAAGCCTTCCACTGGAAACACAAGCGTACTGTCGTTCATCTTAACGCCCGATCCACCGCCGCCAATCAGTTGTGACAAGGAGTTGTGTTGGTCGCCTAGAGTGCACGGTACACCGTCAGTTTCCTTCCAATGGATTTGTTTGTTGTCGGCCTCACTACTGACCTCACCCTTCACCAGCAATATTCCCGATTTGATCTTCTCAGTCTCAGCCTGACAGGTACCAGCAGCTTCATGGCTGTGTTTTCCAACAAGCATGTAAATATTACCTTCATCCACAACTGCTGTTGGTCGGCTCACATTTACTTTCTTTCCCTCTGTGGAGCCGCCTTCCTCCAGAACTTGTGTGTCCTTGGCATCCTTCAGAACTTCTTCCCTTTGGTTATCCGCTGTTTTCTTGAGAAGTTGGGATGCAATGCCAGTAAAGACGGTGTCTTGGGCCTCATTGCACTGCGCCTCGGCAACGGCAAACAAATTACCATTCACCTCAACAAGAACTGGAGCACGTAAAGAATTCATTGTTTCCCCATCCTTTTTCACATCCCTCCAATGAAACGGTTTCTCCGGTGAAGATCCCTTAGCTTGTGTCGCCCCCACATCAGCGGTTGCACCTCCAGTGCCGCAGCACATCATCACGAAGAGGAGGAGCAGCACCGCGGAAGTAAACGCACGCCGGGACATGTTGGGCCTCTGCCGCTCACTCTCTCTTCCCTCCCTCCTCCTCCCGCTGGATCCGGTCACGCGGCGACGGTTGTGTGTGCGGGGTGCCTTCACTGCAGCAACACGTGAGAGCATATAAATATGTGTGTGTGTGCGGTGTGTGTGCTGTTGGTCCTTTCAGTGCCTTCGAATTTCACAGTAGCGATTAGCGTTTAGCCTTACTTCCTTTCCTTCTTTGTGTGTGAGAAAGAGAGAGAAGAGAAAAAGGGAGTGAAACAGTGAACACCGCCGCCCATCCACAGTGAGTGGCACCATCATCCCCACCGCAGTCACTCCCAAAAACAACAACTCACGCACACAGACACACGGAATGAGAAGGAAGAACAGTGCACCGGGAACACACAGAGACTGCCACCAGCAGTAAAAGCCACAGCAGGTATGTTGTGCTTCTGCCACGCGTCAGCACACACGGAGTAACGCCCACACATGTACTGCCGCCAGTCGTATTACTGTTGTCTCTACACCGCACCCTCCATCGCACATCGCCCCGCACAGCCGGAGAATCCTCCGTCGGTGCATGAACAGCGGGAGGAACACGTCGGCACGTGCAGCTGCCGGGAAAGAATCTGCACTCCTCCCAGGCACCCTTAATGCCACACCACATTCGTCAACTGCTTCACGAAACGAAAATCACGCCCTTAGCACAGAAACAAAACAAATTTCGGTGTTCCGTCATCCCTCCTCTCAAGGGTCACAGAAAAATCCTGTGCGTGAGTCCTCAGCATTCACGCCGCTCCACGGCATGTGCAACACGGCATGTCTGTGAGTGATTGGCAGCGCCTATACTTGCAGAGCAGCCGTTCAGCACAAGAGAGTCTGAAGAAAGCAACGGCAGAGAGAGGCAGATAGCACACACGCAAATTACTCATATCATCACACACACACACACGAAGCCGCGGAATGGGTGCACTCAACCACAAAATCAAAAAGAAAAACAAAACAAAAAGCCGAAGCGTGGGACGACCAGCGCACACACACTCTCATTACTCCCGTAAAGCAAAACACACACACAGAGGGAGAGAGAGAGAGGTCGCCCACTCAATGCAATAAAAACAAAACAGAAACAGTTACGGTGCTCCGTCCATGCAGCCAGGCAGGACGGCAGCGGTGCGTGTCGTGCAAAAGAGAGCACCAACGGGCCTGCATGGGTGTGCATGCATATATACAATGGACACATTATGTGTGTGCCTCGTGGGGTGAGGTGAGGGCAAGAGTCCATGCAAGGGGACACACACACACAGAGAGAGAAGGACGAGTGTGTGTGCGGGCGGTGCATGGCTCTCTCACACTCACTCTCACGCGGCCACCACCGCAGCAGCCGCACACGCAACAACAAGAAGAAGAAGCAAAAGAGGGGAGGTGGTGTGGGAGACCGCGGTGCTGCCGTCACTGTCGCCAGTCGTCGCCGTTGTAGTTTTCATGGCTTCGACTGGTGTTTCTTTCGGATTGGCATCTTTATTTTCATTTTGTTTTCCCTCTGCTGTCCCTGCAACATCAGCTGCTGGATCATCGTCTCCAGTTGTTGGTGTGCTGTTGGGATTTGTTATATTCGATGCTCTTGCCGCACCAGAAGATAAACTTGGCTGCTCTTGACCGTCTGCTGAGATCCCCCCTGTGGTGCCGGTGTCGCTTCTGCTGGCGATTCCGGTGATTCTGACGCCGGTGATTTTTCTTGAGGCGCTTTCTGTTGACCGTTTGGGTCAACTCCTGCAGCGACACCTGTGGAATTGTTGTCATTTTTAGGACTATTGTCTTTACTGGGCGGAGAAGCTGGGGAAGCTGGAGTTGGTTCAGCACGTCCAAAAACAGCACCCCACCACAGCACGCAGAGGGCACACACCAGCAGCACACGGCCGGTCATCATCGCCATCACTCCTGTCACTTGCGTGCAGCCTTCAGCGCAAACTAACAACACGTCAACAGAGAGTGAAAGCAAAATGGAGAGACACGGCCGCTACACCACGCCACAGCCACCGTACAGTGAGAAACTGCAGCAGCAACAAAGCACACACCCACGCAGAGCTGCTGAGGCTGCCGTCGATTTCGCGAAGACGTGACGGTGCGCGGGTGGTCGTCGTGGTTAGCGCCTCTGTATTCATAGCCGTATTACTTGGTGCCCGTGTTGTTGTTGTAGTAGTGGCCGTATTTGGCATTTTCATCTTCTGATTTGATATCTGTGCCTTATGATTCTCATCGCCTCGTGTATTTTACAGCGCCTTCTATTTTGTGCATCTGACATACCGGTCGCACCTTGTGTGTGTGTGGAGACTGAGTTGCCAAACCTCGTGGCTCTGGATTATCGCTAGCCGAACTCAGTGACTCTGGCGGAACTCGTGTCTGTCCAGTGATGGCTGTGCCTGCTTCCTTTGGCAACGAAGGTGCTTGACTTCTCAAACCCTCCTCGCTGTCTCTCCCACTCTCTGTCTGTGGCACACCGGTCTCCCCACCATATGGCTGTAATGCACCAGGCATGTTCTTGTAGGATCCGGTTTCCCTAGCTCGGGGCTGGGAGGACGGCTGTTATCATTATTATCGTCTCCCGTCGCCGTCACGCACACGGACGAGCAGCAGCAGCAGCACAAGAGCGCAAGGGCCAACACGGCGCCGCACCATCACCATCGCAGTCAACATCGCCCGTAGTGGTGTCGCTGGAGTCTGTCAGCTGATCGGTGAGACGGAAAGGAAAAGAACAGAACGAGAGGGAGAGGGACGGAGCACAGCGGATACAGCGAGAGCGCAGACAACATGAGGAGAGGGCAGCAGACCCAGCCGCACAGTTCACACACCACGAGACGGCATCCACGCAAGGAAGGCACACAACGCCAGCAGCCACCCACCATGCAGAAGGAGAAGACATCCACCACCATCTCCCCCAGCTCATTCCCGCAGCCCCAGGGAAATGGCCAAAACCCGCGGCCACCACACAACGCACACGGAGCAAGCGAACCCTCATCCATCCATCACGCGGCACAAAATTTCCTGCCATCCCGCCATCAATGGGACACGAAGCCCAACTCAGCGCAGTCACACGCGGTGCATCACACCCACAGGAAAATAGTCTCGGGGTGCGCTCCCTCTCTCCCTCCTCCTCATGGCCACGGAAGAAGACAACAGCCGCCACACGCAACTGCCAGCATGCACTACAAAAGGTGCATTCAAATCCACTGCAATGTGCATCTTGTGTGTGTGTGGTTGTGTGTGCCTGCAGCAACACAAAGCAAAGAAGTGGAAAAGAGGGAGCAGAGTATGTGGAGAGACGCACAAAAATGTACAGCGGAGACGCATAACGGAAGCAACAAGAAGAAGACCGCTCAAACTCATGACTGCACTGCAGCCCAAGCAGCGGCAATTCACACAATATTTATTGAAAACAAAAAAACGTCCCCTTCGTCTTATGTAAACCCCACCACACAAAATAATTATAAATGAAAAGAAATCGTCCATTGCTGCTCCACACAAATTTAAAATAAGAAAAAAGTCGCCTGGCAGCCGTGTGGCCACACCAAACTGTCTGTATGTATTTTGTCCACAAAAGAAAATTAAAAGGATGGTTGCGTGTGCTTCAACCGTCCGACCCTCCACGTGTCCGCACATCGTTTATATTTCATGGCGTCATCCGCGTGTTGCTGCTCCCCTCAGCCCTCTCATCGGCGCGTGAGTGCGGCCCGCAGAGCACAGTCACTCGTGTGTGTGGGGACTGAGAGAAGCACGCAGACATGACGGCGGTCGCGTCACTCCATCGGGAGAGTGAGCACAGCAAAGGAAAAATCTTAAAAACACGGCGGCAGGGTGTGGCTGTGTGTGTGGCGCTGCGGGTGTCTGCCCGCCCTGGCCGCAAAGAAACAAAACAGGAGGGAAGAAATGTGTGCTCCGCCCCACACGCCCTCGTCGCACGCCCACACGTCACGGCTCCCTCAGCGCGCCGTTCGTCGCGGCCCCTCCTCATGCGTGCAGCAGGCGAGGCGCACAGGGCCGTCGTTGTGAGCGTGTCGGTGGGTGTGCGAGTGGAGCAGTTGGGCGGAAACACACGGCACCCCTCGCAGGAAGAGTGCAGCAACAAACAATTAAAAGAGGGAAGAGTAGAAAAGAAAAAACGCGTCCATAGTGATTGCCCCAAAAGCAAAGAAGAAATGGGGATATAAAAACGCACAGCAAAGCAAACAGGGAAAAGCAATAATAAAAAAGTTATTAAAGAAGATAAATTAATTACCGTGTGTGTCGGTACATGGAAGGTCGCAAGGTGTTCCACGCGGCAGCCAGTCACTCCTCACAGAGCCGCAAACCCCCACAGTCCCAACGGAAGGAGAAGCAGCGGCAGCAGTCCGCTCCCGCACACAGTGCCGGCATCGCTGTTATTCCCCTGCGACACATTTCCGAGACTGCTGCTGAGTGCCGCAGCATTTACTTCGCCGTCCCGTGCATGGATGTCCTCCCCTTTCTGCCCATCCGTTCCTTCCGCCGTCTCCCCATTAGCACCAGAGCGCCCTCCCGCCTCAGGTGTCACGGCGGTTCCATCTGGCGCCATGGTTTCAGCGGTAGGGGCATTTGTATCTGCTGTGGCGGGAGTGCCCACTGACGGTTGTTGTGTTTCATCTCCCTGCACCGTGTCTTCAGTTTCGGCATCCACCGTTTGGCCTCCCTCGGACGAAGAATCAACATCCACATTTGAATGTCCTTCGGGAGATGTTCCCGACGCTGACTGGTCTTCGGACTGGTTGGCTGCTGGGGAAGTCGTAGCACTGGACACCGCTGACGTGGATAAAACGCCACTCCCCGCATTTTCACTTTTCTTCAACGAATCCTGTTCAGTCTGCTGTTGCCCGCCAAGACTAGACGGAGTTCCGGCTTCCGGCGTAGCTTGTTTCATTGCCTCTGGTGGAGTACCCTTCACTGTTTTTGCATCTTCTGCTTTTGGAATAGAAAGTTTTGTGTTAAGCGCAGTAATCTCATTGTCATCCAACGGGCGGTTGTACAGCAGGACGTTCGTCACAGTCACAGACACACCTCCTCGGCTCCCTGAGTCGCTTTTTGCACCTCCATCCCCCCCAATGTAGAAGTGGGAAATCTTTTTATCTTTCGTATTTATCAAATCACATTGTGCATCTCCCAATACAGGCTTACCATCGACGTAAGCGGAGCCTTGGGTGCCATTTCTTAACAAAATCACGACGTGGTGTGTTGTATCCGTCGCCAAAGTGCGGCTTTGATCCTCAGAGTTTCCGCCACTACACAGCAGCTGCCACTTCTTTTCTTTGTCGTTGTACGAAAGCTCAAAAGTTTTTTTTTCTCCTTCACGACTCAGACGCACACCCATCACAGGAATGGGAGAACCCTCCTGCGGCACACCGTGGATGGACACCGTCGCCACAAGAGTGAAGTTGTAGTTCGCAAAGTGGTACAGCTGATTCTCCCCCTGACTGCCAACAGGCCACTCCGCCCACGCTCCCGTGAACTTCACACCATCGGAAGTCTTTGTTGCCCCTGTATCATCTGTCTCCCCCGCATCCTCTGTTGCCTCATCTTTCTTCTTCACTGTGGCGTTCACCCCGAGGTACTCGTCCATCCATGTGTCATTAGAGAAGTTGCCGGACAAAAAGCCAATCAGCCCATCCGTGATCTTAACAGTATTGCTGCAGGCATTTTCAGATGGGGCATCCTCCTCAGCACTTGAGAGGCACAACTTGGAGACAGTTTCGTCCACTTTCTTCCACGTCGCCAGCACCTCCTTCACACGTTTCAGCTCCGCAGTCAGAAGCACAGAGACCATACCGAGTGATGTATCCTCAGCGCCCTTCTTCTTTTCGTACAGTGCAATCAACTTCTCCTCATTATTATCAGTTCCACTTTCGGCACTTTTGTACAACAGGGAGCTGGCGGCAGCGTCATCATCGGATACCGGCCCAATATCAACAATGTGCGCATTGTCCGTCAGCCAAAGATGGAGTACGCCCTTTCCATTGCCTCCTTTATCAGCCTTCTCGGGATACACCGGCAGAGTAACGAGCATCACATTTTTATTGTCACCAACACCGTCAATCGTCGCTGTGATGAACCCGCTTCTAACGGCCTTCGCTTCTCCGTCCTGTTTGTTGCCCCACACGCGCGAGAGTGTCCCGAGTGCCTCCGTCCACGACTCCCCCTTGTCAGCGGACTCGTACACCCTGCGGCGGCCATCATCACACGCAGTCATCATCATGAGTTTTTTGTCCTCCTTCTCCCCCCACTCCACGACGGAGGGAGCACTGCAGTCACCGTCAGGAATCTCCTTCGATAACTTCCAACTCGCAGCGTTACCGGAGGTGAATATGAGCAGCGATACGGCCTTCTTCTTTCCCTCCTTTACATTCTTTGTGCCTTCCACTGGGAACACAAGTTTATCGCCCTTCATCTCAAATCCCGATCCACCACTTCCAATCAGTCCTTCCAAGGATTGAAGTTCTTCGCCAAAAGCTGCCCGTAACAAATCCGTAGTCTCCTTCCAGTCAATTTGCTTGTTACTTTCGTCACTGACGTTCCCTTTCACCAGCAATAATCCCCCGTCATCGGCACCGCCCTCCACAGAAACACCGGCTGCGGGTTTCCCGCTGTATTTCCCAACAAGCATGTAAATATCACTTCCCTTCACAACTGTTGTTGGTCGGCTCACATCCACTTTCTTCTTCTCGCCTTGGGAAACGTCCTTCTCCAAAACTTTTGTCCCCTTTTTGGCATCTTTAGGAAATTCCTCCTTCGATTCTTTACCCTTATCCATCGTGAGTAGTTGGGATACAATGCCAATAAAAGTGTGATCCTCAGCATCCTCTTTCCCGCACATTGCCTCGGCAACGGCAAACACGTCACTCCCCACTTTTAGAAGGCCGGGAGCACCCAACGATTCCACAGTTACACCACCCTCCTCATCCTTCATGTCCTTCCATTCAAACTGGGGTTCAGATGACTGCTCCGCAGCACCACCAGCGTTGCAGCACATCATCACGACGAGGAGCAATGCAGAAAAAAAGTGATGCCGGGAAATGTTGGGCCTCTGCGGCTCGCTCTCTCTTCCTTCCCTCCTCCTTCCGCGGGATCCGGTCACGCGGCGACGGTTGTGTGTGCGGGGTGCCATCACTGCAGCAACACGTGAGAGCATTTAAATATGTGTGTGTGGGCGGTGTGTGTGCTGTTGGTCCTTTCAATGCCTTCGAATTTCACAGTAGCGATTCGCGCTTGGTTGTAGCTTCCTTCCTAGCCTGAGTGTTTTTGTGTGCAAGAAATCAAATTAAAATCTAAAAAGCATCAAAAAGAACGTGGCAAAGAAGTGGGTGGCGCCACCATTCACGGCGTAACACATCCGCTTCGTCGCAACCGCCACAGTAATTACCCTCACCGTCCACAACGGCCCAATCACTGTGAGGCCACACACAGAAGCGGAGACACTGACGGTTGCGCACGGGCCAATACACCTTCCAGCAAACGGCACCAACCAACAGACAGAGAGGAGAAATTAGGAGCGAGCAGAATCCCAAGTGCTGCGGGATCCTTGCAAGCACCGCCCCCTCACTGTAGTACCTTTAAAGCGTTCCTCGCTGCAACATCCCCCAACACCCGCTCGACGTGTCGGTGGATTTTCCCGTTCACCGGAAGAAAAACAGCGGGATGCTTCGGCAGTGGTCGAAGACACACAGAGCGCACCGTGGACGCGATCAACGAGCGCAGACCCTCGTGAAGTGCGATCCCACAACCGCAATCCCTCCATTTACTCTCGTGGACGTGAAGGAGTCATAAAATGTCCTCTTCTCTACAGCAGTCCCGAAACGCAAAAAAAAATCTGCAGGACATCCCGCGCAGCCACGGCCTCCTCAGCAGCCCGACAGTCCATGCCGCCGCACCGATCCTCAAGAGGTCGCCAGGCCCGGTAAAGCAAGCAAAGGGAGACCAGCAATTTGGTCAGGGCGTTCAGCAAAGTGAGGCGCAGCAGTCGGTTAAGCGCGGCCCATCCACGTCCTCCCCCTCAACAGACCCACCACAAAGTCGAATCACACACCCTGAAAGGAGCCGTGGCGTCTAAAGAAATAGCACGCACAATAGCACCTCGTGCTTTCCTCAATGAAGTTTCACGGCACACACGAGGCACCACAAGAAGGGGCAAATAGTTGCATCCCATCGGCATAAGCACGGGAATAAAGCGCGCATTCTGCCCCTGTGAACTCCCATCCAAATCGTCTCAGCCACAGAGTTTCTGTCGCCGACCCTCAGAAAGGGCTGATGCATCAACTGCCGCTGACCGATCACCCAGCGATGCAACAAAAAGAGCTACCGTCCCTCGAGGTTCGTCATCACCCATTCCTCCCATTGAGGGAAGGGAACGCAATGTAACGGTGTGGACGTGTCTAGCCGACAGAAATGAAGGAAGTGGCTCCAGCCGTGGAACAAATTAAACGAATCCTCCTCCCAAATCCTTCAAAGAGACCGGTCGGTCAGCTGCCGAGGTTGACGGCGCGGAGGACAACACCTTGAATGTATGGAGCACCGTGGCAACCTGAATATATTCCGCAATGTCCGCGGCCAGTTCATGTCCGTACAAAGAAGGGACAGCAAATTCAAAGGGGCGTGTGAACCCGTCAGTGATCACCCGCGCCGGAGGATCGCCACCCCCACCCTCCAAGGGCACCTCAACGACGTCAAATACTTCCACCGCATGGCACCCACAACACAATCGCGTGGCACAAAGCATCGCCTTGCAGCACCCCATGCAATGCGGCAATCGAAAACCATCTCGAACACGGCGTGCGACAAAGATACTGAAAGAAGGCGCAGCAAATGTCGTCCACATCTCAGCAATTCCAATCATCCAGTAAAAGGCAGGAGCACCAGACAGTACCCACGGACTCACCGAATATGGCATCAAACGGCAGCGAGATGTCAGATGCCGAAAGGTCCGCATTTTCCTCTCCCGTGACACTTCCACGGATGAATGCAAATGCCGTGCACTGCGGCCTCTCGACCGCTTCGAGACAACGTTACGGCCACATGGCGACGGCCCAACGTGGCTGGCGATCAGATCCAGTCGTCGCGGCGAAACAGTACAGAAAGTAGGGCGATGAGCACGCACATTCGCCTCGTTGATGCCTCCCTCCACCGCAAGAGTAAAAAACGCCTTCCCAACAGCCACACTTCGGGTGGCTGAAACACCTGCCCTCACACCGGCGATGACATCTGCAAGCGCCTGTAATTCCTCGACACAGCCCGTCAAAAAAAACCAACGGCGCTCAAACCCTGCAGTCACACATCCCTCGTAACCATTTGCAAACTCGTTGTTCTGCAGAAAGACCCAAACAACATAACAAGAAGACCGTCCATTGCTGGCAAGGAACAAGAGCACGTTGCTTTCATCCTGCAACGGAGGATTATGCCTCCTGCATAACGCGGCCACAAGTACGCGGTGCACCAACACCGAAGCGGTGGGCATGTTGCCCCATGACCCTCCCCCTCCACAAAGGTCCAAGAGGTGCAACAGACCATCCTCCCACCGAAGAAAAAGCCCAATGGAGCGGGCACTGCAGTGTGCGGACCACCCAGCAGAAACACCCTCAGAGAACGAATGCTCTTGAATGCCCTTCAGAAGAGACCAGCGGGTTGGTCGTGAAGCCAACAGACACCGGAGAGCCACCTGCCCTGCACGCATCCAATGACGCAATTGAGAGCGCAATGCTGCAGGCCACATCAACCACCCTGTTCTCGTCTCCGTCTGTGCGGGCACGACAGTCCTGCCATCACCCTTCGCCCTCACAAAGTATTCCACAGGGTCCTTTGAACCAGAGACCACCACACGGCAATATTCCAGCGGAGGAGTGATCTCCATACCGTATAAAATAAAATGTTCCCCACGTCGAGGACCGCAGTGAAAACGACCATAACGATGAGCAACACAATTGTTATCTGTGCCGTAATTCATCAAAACACTCTATCCTCCGTTGGTTTAGGCCTCTGCCACACGAAGAGGCACAGATGTAACATCATTTGCACGCAACAGAGTGAAATCCGCAAGAACATCGTCAGAGTCATGCAGGAAGCAACAACCACCAGCACGGTCAGCAGCTGTTGTGGCCATATTCTGCAAAACATGATCCACGCCCACAGGGAAATTTGTTGTCCAGTTGCACATATAATTGATGGGCCAGGCAACGTGGGCCACAAAACGACAACGCCAGTCGATATTAGGCCGTGGAGCCGCCAGTGAGAGCCATTGATTGGAATAAACAGCAAAGCCACCAACGGCCAAAAGGAGCTGCGACAAGGCATTCGTACTTCAATCAAAGAACGGATTCGTCTCGTCTAGGAAGAAGAAAAAAGAACAATATTTTTCCTCCTCACAGAGTCTTCCAGCAAAAAAACACCATCATGCGATCCGTCCTATCGGCATTACTCAGGAGCACAAGAACTGTGCAATGTGTAGAGGGCGCTGCAATCAAGCGAATGAGATGCTCCACGGTGGCGAACAGACTCCTCCCAGGCCAAGCATCAACCAGTCGCGAGCAGCATGCCTCTTCATGGACTTTCCGTTTTGGTTCCAACCGAGACGGAGGGCTTTCGTCGCTCAGCACCAACCCCGCGTTGCGTCGTGTCGTCAAACAAAACAAGTGAGAACGACGGAGCGCGTCATCAGGGAAATCGCCCCCAAATGTGGGAAACGGCATCGCAGACGCCGGAAACACATGCGCATGATGTCCCTCCACGTCAGCTGCGCAGCCTGTCAGATGAAGGAAAATTCGGTAAAACGAAAGTCAGCGCACTCACCTCCACCCCAGGCAGTTTTATCAGGACGGTCGAATCATCAAGCTGGGAGCTCCACAATTGTTGAGGGATATCGTGACGCTCTGACACGTTTACATGCGTGTCCACACAATGTCCTATTTCCTTTTCCCCCTCTGCATGCGTCCGTATCGTCTTTTAAGCCATAACAAGGACAGAATAGATGGCGAGTGGCACCTGGTCAGCCAGCGCCGTTCCATTCCCTAAAGCACCAAAGATCGAGGCCTCAAAAACAATGGCCATCAATCAGTGATGCCGTTGACACAGGACCTCCTCTGGCCAACGCCACACACTTGTTCCGGAGTACATGTTGTCCCATGCCTCGCTGACGCCGCCCTCAGCGTCCTACACGGGTACGCCGTGCATTCACTCCCAAAATACGGATGTGGACTACAATTTAAGAAAATTGCACAATGCGCCTGCAAACTGCTCGTTGAAAGTTGTCATTGTGTTGAGCGTCAGGGGCAACGCACTCACACGTTGCGGCCCCTCAGGAGATCAAAGAAGATAGCAACCATCAGTCAATTGGGATGGACTTCGCAAACCCCTTGCGACTTTTGTCCGATGGGATGCTTCAGTGCATATGAAACCTTGTCTGTGGGACGGAATGCCTATGCGCTCTAAAAAAGTAAGCATGAACTCACGGGAGAAGAATACATAATATAGCGGAAGCAAAATGCCACGAATAAGAAAGAACGGTGAAAACATTATATGGAGGGGTATATATACGAAAATAGGCGTTGATCAATGTGTAGATATATCGATATGGGCATGAGCATAAAAACGATACTTTATTCTTATTCATTGATGCATCTGTATAGATATGGATGTATCCCTTCGCTCCCCTAAAATTTGACAGATTGCTTGGTTTCTTGGTTTATTGAATTGCTATTTTATAAGCTGCGTATGTATATAGATGGGCATGTAAATATCGGTATGAATATCTATTCAGCGCTGTTGATATATATATTGCTACTATTCCTCGTGTCTTCTCAAACAAATACGAAGGCCCACACGCCAGCCACCATCGCAGAGCACGTCCGCCCAATGATCGGAGATCTAAAAGAGGGCCTCGGCACCCGAAGTGGGAGCCGCAGCGGAGTAAATGCAGAATTGCCTCTTCGCACAGTTTAAATCGGCCGGTTCTCACAATTTCCGGTCAATGCCGTGGCGCGCCGTGCGGTAGCGGGTCAGTCAGTCACTGCTGTGGCACTGAAACACGCATGTTGGACGGCGAAGCTCAGCCGGTGGAGATCCCATTGGGCTGTCGTCGCCGGGCAACGTGCGCCTTCTCGGTGGCCTGACCTCTCTGCCTTCGTGACATCGGCAACAGCGTGA